AGAAAATGTGGCTTCATTTTGTTGGGTCCTTTCTTTACGGCAGGATTTCTTTGTCTTGTATTAAGGATAACCTAAGTTGCTTGTTAAAATATTGATTTCAAGAATCCACTCCTGACTTAGTGAATCAGAGCCTTCTTGGGACCATCCTAGCATCCTAGTAATATATATAAAAAGTACCATTGGTGACTCTTATGGGCAGGCAAATCTAGGAAATATCGCTCCAAGGAATTGTAAGAGTGTGTGGTCCTTACTTTTGAGTAGCTATTTTTAAGGATCCTGGTGAGTATGAAAGACAATTTACAAACTAGGAAAATACCTTTAGGGGAAAGCCTATTTTTAAGGAAAAAAAATTAAAGATTGTTTTTTACGCTGACACTCCTTCTGACAACTGATCCTTTTCTTACATCCCTTAAGAGAAACTAATTAAAAACATCAGTTACAAAGAGGTATTATATAATTATTTGCTATTTGTCTGCATGGAATATGTTTAGCATTTTAAATAATTAGGTATTTCTCTGCGGGATTGTAGAAAGATACAATATATATGAGATGTTTTCTTGCTGTGGAAAATGTTCCATCACACACTATACACTGTGATAGTGTTTAGTAAAAAGTAGAATTTTCTGAAACCAATCTGATGTGATCTCTGGAGACGAGTTAGAAGATACAAATGGAAAATTTCCACAAGGAAATTTCACTAGAAGACTTAAGGGCAGAGTGCAAATGAGCTTCCCAATGTGTGAATCTCCATCACGTGCTTAAAGCCTTGATGGCTGAAGAACTGTCTGATACTGCTTTCAAAATTCAACAGACTTAAAAATAGAAAAGCAGATGTATCTGTACTGTTAATGAATTGAATTATTTCTAGTAAAAGAAACATTTATTAAGCTCCCTGTCTCCAGTGGTTTGTTAGACACTATAAAAATACATCTTAGAGTGAGAAAACAAATCCTCATGAAGCTGAGCCATAGTATGGATAGTAATTTCTGTGAAATGGAAAAATCAAATTACAGCAGTCTAATGATTTACTTTGTGTTACTTTTCACATTCAAATGTAATTAAAACCCTTTTAGATTAGGGATAAATGGGAAAAATACTCATATCTAATTGAAAACTGCTAGGTTCAAATTTAAGAAAACATTTGGCCCTTTGTTGTACTATCGTTGAACTCTGTCTCCAATGAAGTATGACTGATGAGTTGTGGCATAGTGAATAGAATCACATACCAAATCCCCTCAACCTACATTAAGTCTATAGTGTTTGGAAAGGCAAGAGAATTGGTCAAACTGTGGAAATTTCTAGAAAATTCTTCTAGTATTTTTTTAGATTGTGTGAGAATTCTAACAAATGATTCTTCCAAATGGCGTCATTGAGTTTCACATTAGTCACTTGATGAATTGTCTATTTACATCATGTGCTATAATATGGAAATTTAATCATGATAATGATGACAACCATTTATTGAACAACTAGTACATGTCCTCAATTTAAACATATCTAATATCTTCTTACATTTTATTTAATTGTATCCAGGCTTTCTAAAATCTTATAATCTTATATATTATTGCATTCTATTATTTTTATATTTTCCTTTTTAAACTTTTATTTAATAAATATAAATTTCCAAAGTAGAACATTTGGATTATAGTGGCTTTTTCCCCCCATAACTACCCTCCCACCCACAACCATCCCATCTCCTACTGTCTCTCCCATCCCATTCTTCATCAAGATTCATTTTCAATTATCTTTATATACAGAAGATCAATTTAGTATATACTAAGTAAAGATTTCAACAGTTTGCACCCACACAGAAACACGAAGTGTAAAATACTGTTTGAGTACTAATTATACCGTTAATTCACATAGTACAACACATTAAGGACAGAGATCCTACATGAGGAGTAAGTGCACAGTGACTCCTGTTGTTGATTTAACAATTGACCCTCTTATTTGTGACGTCAGTAATCACCCGACACTCTTTTCATGAGCTGCCAAGGCTATGGGAGCCTCTGGAGTTTGCCAGCTCCCATCTTATTTAGACAAGGCCATAGTCAAAGTGGAAGTTCTCTCCTCCCTTCAGAGAAAGGTACCTCCTTCTTTGATGGCCCGTTCTTTCTGCCAGGATCTCACTCGCAGAGATCTTTCATTTAGGGTCATTTTTTTTTGCCAGAGTGTCTTGGCTTTCCATGTCTGAAATACTCTCATGGGCTTTTTAGCCGGATCCGCATGCCTTAAGGGCTGATTCTGAGGCCAGAGTGCTGTTTAGGACATCTGCCATTCTGTGTATCCTGCTTCCCATGTTAGATCATTCTCTCCTTTTTAATTCTATCAGTATTAGCAGGTACTAGACTTGTTTATGTGATCCCTTTGACTCTAAATCCTATCATAATGATCAATTATGAACTGAAACTGATCACTTTGACTAGTGAGATGACATTGGTACATGCCACCTTGATGGGATTGAATTGGAATCCCCTGGCATGTTTCTAACTCTACCATTAGGATAAGTACTATTGAGCATGTGCATCTCCTCCCTCTCTTATTCTCACTCTTATATTTAACAGGGATCACTTTTAAGTTAAATTTAAACACCTAAGAATAATTGTGTGTTAATTAAAGAGTTCAACCAATGGTATTAAGTAGAACAAAAAAAATATTAAAAGGAATAAAGTAGAAAGTTGTCCCTTGACAGTCAGGACAAGGGCATCTTACATATTACTAAATATTTTAAATGCTTCTTCATATACTAAATTATTCTTTTTAAAAAGATTTATTTATTTATTTGAAAGGCAGAGTTGCAGAGAGGCAGAAGCAGAGATAGAGAGGTCTTCCATCTGATGGTTCACTCCCTAATTGGCCTCAACGGCCGGAGCTGCACTGATCGGAAGCCGGAAGCCAGAAGCCAGAAGCTTCCTCTGGGTCTCCCATGCAGGTGCAGGGGCCCAAGGACTTGGACCATCCTCTACTGCTATCCCAGGCCATTACAGAGAGCTGGATTGGAAGTGGAGCAGCCGGGACTAGAACCGGCACCCATATGGGATGCTGGCACTTCAGGGCAGGGCATTAACCAGCTGCACCACAGCGCCGGCCCCAAGTCATTCTTTTTTTAAAAAAATATTTTATTTATTTATTTGAGAGGTAGATTTACAGACAGTGAGAGTTTGAGACAGAGGGAAAGGTCATCCATCCACTGGTTCACCGTCCAAATGGCTGAAACAGCAAGAGCTGAGCTGATCTGAAGCCAGGAGCCAGGAGCTTCTTCCAGGTCTCCCAAGTGGGTACAGGGGCCCAAGCACTTGGGTCATCTCCTACTGCTATCCCAGGCTGTAGCAGAGAGCTGGATTGGAAGAGGAGCTGTTGGAGCTCTAACAGGTGCCCATATGGGATGCGGGCTCTACAGGCAGAGAATTAACCTACTGCACAATGGCGCTTGCCCCCCAAAATGTTTTTGTCACTAACAGTAACTTTATTAAATTTTCTTTTAATTTATAAATAATAATTGTATGTATTGATGGGATACAGTGATATTATAGTATGTGACAATATGGAATAATTAGGCCTAATTAATTTGTACTATTCATCCGAGAGTACAGAAGTTTTCAATGGTTTAGTGGATGTGGCTCATCAATAAACTTTTAGAAAACTTTGTCCTAGAGCCAATCTCTCAGTATAATTTGGGAAGAATTTCTATCTGGTATTATCTTGTATTATAAAGTGCTCTCCATATATCTGGGTTTAAGCTATTAAAGATGCAAACTTCTGGTTTATAATATGAATCTCAAGAATATCCATTTTAAATTTAAATTAAAATCATCAAGAGGAATACCTACCTATCTAACAGCAGTAGAAAGATTGGATATGTGGATCAATGGGGATTGATGCCCTCAATGGTTGTAATATTTATGAAAATGATATATTACTGCATTAATAAAACATTTAAAGTCAATAAAAACTCATTCTAATATTCCGACTTTCATTTGAATTGAATATTTTAAAGTACCTATATTGTGTAGGATGCCATTAAATCGTGCTATAGCTCTAGGCTATCTTATTTGGACTTGAGTCACAGAAGCAATATATAGCAGTGAGCCAAGGTATATGGCAGCTATAGCTATAGAAACATTTATGGTGAATCAATTTCTCTTGAAGAATTGAGGAAAGTGTTAGCAAATTTTACTGATGAGTTATTTTTAATTATATTTAAATGCATGTACATATATTATGGGATGAACATTTGGTAAATGTAAACATTAAGTGAATTATGGACATTTGAGCAGTTGGAAAACAAAGAGGGTACAAAAAGCATGGATTACTTGTTTCACTGTTTTAGTGGTTCTGACTTTGGTAGAGCCTATGTTTAGTTCAGTATGGCATGGTAATTGTCATTTAACAACTAGCATAGGAGTGAGTGTTAGGGATAGCAGTTGACATGTTGTTTGGGACTCTGCATCCTCAGTTGGTATGTCTGGTTTTGACTTCCAGCTCTGCTCTCTGACTCCAGCTTCCTGCTAATGCATTTGGAGGCAGCAGATCATGGCTCAAGTATGTGGGCCCTTGCCACCTGAGAGGGAGACTGGATTGAGCTCCCAGCTCCTGGCTGTGGTTTGTCCCAGCTCCACCTGTCTAGCTGTTACAGGCATCTGGAGAGTGAAACTGTGGATAAAATCTCTCTCTCTCCCTCTCTCTCTCTCTCTCTCTCATATCTCTTTGCCTTTCAAATACATTTTGAAGCACATTGGTGTGTAGGGATAAAGAAAAACTCCTTAGCCTACCTTTTCTATTTCAACGAATAGTTGACCATGTTCATGAAGATTTGATGTGTAATGCTATTTAAATTTGAAGAAATCAGAGGAGTTTGCAGTAAGTGTTTTCTATATTTATGAGAGAAATAATCACGTTAAAATTCTTTCAAAGCTGTTTTCTGCATTTGGGAAAATGAATTTACTTTAAGATTCTATTTTTATATGGGAAATAAATGTCTTTTTGACTTTCTTCCACAGGGGCCCTGTTTAGCCTGATCCTCAGCCTGTTTGTGCTATGGAAGGAATATGCAGTTGATTTTCCAAAATATATATCTATAGAAAGGAGCAACAGGTGTGTCCCAGAGAACGTCGTCATTGATGTGAAATATGGATGGTCATTCATGTTTGCTGCTTTTGGAACTCCCTTTGTATGCATGTCTGGGATTATGTTTCATTTCATTGGCTGGGAGCTTGAGGAGTTTCAGAAGTAAACAAACTAAAATTCCCAAAGGCCACAGTGAAATCTTCTGGGCAGATTCTTCATGGATGCTTCAATGAAGGTGAAGCATATTTCAGGTTTGGGCTTTTGCCAAGTACTAGTAACATTACTTACCATCAGTATAAATTGTTAACATGCCATTTCCCAATGAATGAAATTTACTTTAGTAGTGGTGATTTTACTAAAGTAAAACATGCCTTAGGATAAGTAATTTCAAAAAGGACCTGGAATGAGTTTTAATTTGGTCTCAGGTTGCAGACGTAAAAAGACTGGCTCTGTTTTCTTAACAAATTTATAAACACATTTACAATAGGATAATGTTCCCAAATTGTGGTGCCATGATTTCATTTTTAGGCTTTCCAAAGTTGACCTAAGTTGGAATGCAGTGTTTCTCTTTTATGATAAGTTGAGCTTGACTTTTATCAAATAATCAATTAACCATAATTAACATCCCAGACCAGCAACCATTATTTCTCAATTTAAATTTCAGGGATGTGCCAGGAGACACACCGATGTTTTTCTTGCCTCATTCCCCTCAGCAGACAAACTTTAAAAAGTAAGCACTGAATTAAAGCATGCACATTTTAATGGGATGAAGAAAAAAACAGTTGCATCTGAAGGGTAAACTGTTTCATATTTTCATGTCCTAGTTTGCGTGGCCTTCCAGCACAAGGAGATTTACACTTGAGCAAGGGTTTACAAAAATATTAAAATTTAGAATACTTCACCTGAACAAATACAACTGAAGGTCATAGTTTCACAGTGAAAAAGGCTTGTGTTAGCAAAGGGACAAGGTACATCCAGAGAGTTCTAATTCTGGACTGAGGGTTGAGAAAGTTTACATCAATTGATATAATCTTTGCCCATCTTTGCTACCAAGTCAACCATATTAAATGTTAGTAATGTGGAGGAAGAACAGCTACCATATTCATTAAGTGGGTCCTGTTTTCACCTTTATTATATCTAAATACTTCAACATTTGTATCACATCCTCCTATTTTCTTAACATTTCTGTGTTTCATTTTAAGAACTCTTTAGAAAAATGAAAAATCTGAAGATAATGTAGAAGTACATTGATAGAAGGCAGCAATCTTCTTGATTATTTGTACTAGAATTTTAAAAAGTAAAAGTTTTCATATTAAAATCATTCATGAATTAAAGTTTGTATATAGGCACTTTTGAAGATTCTTATTGTCTGTGATGAATATGTGAGGCCCATAAGGGGAACTAGTACTCTCCATTAATAAATGAGAATGTATTGCTGGTATCTTTAGATTTCCTAAGACTTTTTAAGTGTGTTTGTAGTGAATCAAATTCAGTCTATATTTTCCAGACTAGTAATACATTTACTGATTAAAAGCTTCAGATAATTGTGCTTCTTCTGTGCTGTGGCTATAAGTACCTATTCAATCATTATTACACCAAATTTATGTAAATATGTTTCTTGGAATATTATAAATTTAAGTTTAGAAATGTTTTATGACTGTGTCAAATGCTATCCTTTTTTATTTCTAAGTTGTAGGTTTAAAATGTGACTAATAAAATGCATGATAAATTATGAACATTTGTTTGTTGTATCAGTTGATATTCCTGTTGCACATATATGATCTCTTTCACTTGTAAAGAAAAAATCCTGAAGGGAAATTCAAAAACCCAACATCACATGCTTGAAGTGAAGAGATCTTGGAGAGCACATAGTCATGTCCTCTTAATATTTAGAGGGAAAAAAAACCCGAGACACTGAGAATTTAACTGTCTTACAGAGACATATATGGTTATCTCAACTGTAAACTCCAATTGGACTCCTTGTTGAAACTCAGAATGTTAGTAGGTTTCCATGTAAATGAAGTTTCTGGGTACCCAAATTATGCCTAGAACAACAGGTCTATATTTTAAAGTTCACTTTGTGACAATTTGAGGGGAATTTTTCATTTTTCTTGGTTTCTGATGATTTTTTTTAACAACAGTCATTGTATGGTGGGAGAATGAGAATGCCTATCACTTGAGATAGGCCACTCCCCATAAGTGGGGCAACTACATTTCAGAATAACTCAGAAGAGAGAGGAGCAATTCTGTTTATCGGGTTTTTTAAGGCAGAGAGTTAACACTATTCATAAGTCACAGCTTCATTTCTCAAACTTTACAGTATCTGATGCGGTCATTGCCTCAGCCTTAGAAATGTTTCACTGTGGTCCTTTAAATTCATATTCTTTCTATTATAAATACATAGTCTATGTCAAAGTTCTAGTGTTAACTTATGATTATTTTATTTCAGTCAACTTGTTGCTGGTTAGGTAAAGGGGAAACCTCAGATACTAGGGCTTTGCAGTAAGATCAGATATCAGTCTTTGAAAATCTCTAAAACTGCAAAGATTAATGCCTTGGTGGTATACTACAGATATTATATTATACTAAAGGAATGTCTGTATTTTTCTCTGACCCAAGATATCTCCTTCCAATATCTCTGTAATATATCAGACTCCAGGAACAAATAGGGAAGTTTCTTCCATCCACAGTTGTACTAAGTCACTATTTTTAAATGAGTGTTTGCAATAAGACCCTTGGAGTTTCTTTAGGGCTATGCTAGCCCCACCCCCTCTCACTCTTTAATTTATGGAAGGTTTAAGAATGGGCATCTAAGAAAATTCTCCTGCTTCTCCAAAGAGGCACCTTCTATTTCTCTTGATGGTCATTGCCTTGCATTGGTGTTGTACTTATATGGATCTTTTAAACATTGAATTGAAGATCTGTGGTCTCAGATTTTGATAACGGACATTAAGTATAAAACCAAGAGGTAACTCATTTGTGTGTGTGTGTGTGTGTGTGTGTAGACCAGTTAGTTCTGCCTATTCTGGACAAAGAGAATCTTTGATTTTACTTGTAGGTTGACTTTTCTGGGGCAAGTAAATCTGCATAAGTTTTGGAGCCAAGAAGGATTTAGTAATGGACACTTTATATTTTTTGACATTTTACCAATTAATATTTAATGTTCAGAGGTTTAGAAAATGTGTCTGTGGCCACAAAAATTAATAGGATAAGATTCAATATTCTATGCTTAGCTATTTTTTCAAAATTAATAGCCACATTTTTATTTCACTATTAAAATTGCAAGGTGATTTTGAATTTTGGCTTTCAATTATCAATTAACTAATGCAGTGGGCTAGGAAATATACATGGGTGAATGCGCAAGAGAAAACAAGTGAGTAAGGTAAGTGCTGCTGTATGTAGAATGTGTGAAATGGATGGACATGTAGATTACTTGCTTTTAGTGAAGATCATTTGTGCATTGACAATTTTTAGGAGATGGCAACTCAGTGATTGTTGAACTGAAACACTCATTTTATTTTTCTATTCTATTCTTGATAATGGATTTTAAAATGACAGGCACTGATGTTCATTTATCCTCTTACAGAAGTCCTAAGTGCACTTTAAATTTACCAGTTTTACTTAGTTCAGGGCCCACTAAGCTTATACACAGAACAATAGACCCTTGTCTCAAAAAGCACTGAAAAACAAGTTATGTGACATTTTGAAATACACTCATATTTAAAGGTTTTATCTAAGTCCAGTCTTAAGTGTCTTTTAATGACATCTCTTAGGGTTATGCTTATGCTCCACTGGCATTTTGAGTGGTAATTCTTTCCCATAAATTGGCTCTTTATATAAATTTCTTTGTCACTTAATGAAATATTCAATGTAGAGATTAACACTTACAACTAAATACACTAATAGTATATTATATGGCAGTAGAAAAGGTCAAGATTTTTACTCACTTGCCTCTCTTTCCTCACATAAAACGACTTGAGCATGTAGAAAGGTAGTTACTGAAGGAAAACAGGTACCTCAAACTACAGAAAACAGCTTGAAATCTGTCAGAATTTCTGAGATCCGAAACTACTGGTGGCTAGTGTCTTAGTTTTGACTATGGAAGTGTATTTTCTCTTTAATAGTGCATTTAGACATATCTTCTTCATCATTTATCCTTGAAAAAACTTATTCTAACATCATCAAAGCATTTATGAAATGCTTAAGTTAAGCATACATACCACAGAGAAAAGCCATCTTTAGAGGATTTACTCATTCTTTACCTGTTTTAGGACTAACAGGAATTTAAAACTCATTTTCTTTTTTAAGAAAATTAAGCATTTGAAATAAATATTTATTAATATATATATATATATAGAAAGATGTCTTATTGCTCAGTTGATTTCAGTTTGGCCCAAATATAGCAATCTTACAATGTGCTTATTTCTCTGGGATCATGTAGTATGTACTTTCAAAAAAAATGTGAGATAAACTATTCCTCTATCAGACCCAAATTTCTACAGCAGAAGACCTGTCATGTGAATATATCTAGAAGAATATAAAGTTCTCAATATGTTTTTGTCAGGACTATTGCTGTACTTCAAGAGTTTTGGAGGATGATTGGGAATGTTGTTGAAAAGTTAACTAGAACCTAGACAAACCAAACCTTCACTTACTATAGATTTGAGCTGTATCTGTTTCCAGTATGTAACTGATTTTATAAACAAAACCAGATATGAGTGATTTAGTCAGCAATACATCTTTCTGGATTCAGAATAAAATCAATTTGATCACCTAATAATCTCAATCTTCATATACCAACCTCATGTTGAGAGCAATGACCCTGGTTCCTTGTGAATGATTTCATTACCAGAAGGAAAAATGGATTCTATATTGAAGTTACTGAGGCAGAGAAGTGAATTGAGCTTAGAACAAAATAAGATTCAAATGTAAAGATGCTGCCATTTGACTCTCACATAATAACTAGCACATAATTTCCATTTCATTTCTTTATCTTTTTAGATATCTACTATTTGGCTTTGACTTATCTGTTTGCAGGAAAGACTGATCAGAAGCAGTCAAGTTTATGTCTATATTTTAAAGACACCAATTTATAAATGAGTAGAAATTTTATAATTATTTCATGGACTGGGCTAGAAGGAAATATCTCAAAACATAGTGAAGAAACAATCACAATAATCCAATAGCCGTTGTGGGTTCAAATTCAAGATAAATATAGAAATGCCTATTTTGGGGCATCTCAACAAATGCAAATGGCTAGGTCCTTCCATCTTTGTTTCTTTCTCTACCTCTTTCCAAAGACATATTAAACTACTTATACAATTTTGTCTAATTCCGTAGATTGCAAGTTAAGAACAAGAAATTGAAGGGAAAACAAAGATTTTGAAGCTTGTAAATATCCTTGTAGGGAAAAGATGATTTAGGTATGTGAATTGTGTCATATAAGTGGCCTTTATATATTGTCTATGACTGATGGAACAAGTGATTGCCTACTATGTTATGATAGTCATACTTCATCCTATAAGTAAAGTCCCAAAGTGTTGACTTTCTTCTCCATCCTACCATTCTTATTTTAAAAAAGATGTATGTATTTATTTATTTGAAAGACTTAGTAAGTGGGAGAGAGGGGTGGGGAGAAGAGAGAGAGAGAGAGAGAGAGATCTGCCATATGATGGTTCACTCCCCAAATGGCTACAACTGCCAGGACTAGTCCAGGCATCCCATCCAAGTCTCCTATATAGGTTTCAGGGATCCAAGCACTTGAGCCATCATCTGTTGCTTCTTAGGCACATTAGAAGGAAGCTATATTGGAAGGGAAGCAGTCAGGACTCAAATGGATACTCCAATATGGGATGTAGGTGTACATGGGTTAACTTGTTGTACCATAGCACTGGCCCCCACCCTGCAATTCTTGGATTCTTGCATTGAAATTATGCTCTTGGAATATATTAATTTCCTAAATTTTCTAAATCATGTTCATTTTGCTTTAGGTAACTTGAAGGTGTTACAATAGGAGGCTGGGTAAGGTTGTAGGTGGAGACCCAGACCTCCATCCATGTCTCCCTTGGGAGTGGCAGGGAAACAAGTACTTGGGATATAAGCCTGCTTTTCCAGATGCATTAGAAGGGACTTGGATTGAATGTGGAGTAGCCTGGAACTGATCTTTCTCTCTGAAATGTGATGCCATGTCCATCTTTGGGAGCAGAGGCTTAACCTACTGTACCACAACTCTCCTGGCCCTGTGGTCCCATTTTAATAAACATTTCTGATTTCAGTAGCTTAACACAATATATACGCAATTTTCATGTTGAATACTCATGTGAGTCAGTTGTTTGGAAGAGATGTTTGCCAGGCACATTCATTCAAGATCTGTTGTCCCTCCAACTTGTGACTCTCCTCTTCTCTAGAGTCCAAGGATAGTCTCCATTCACCTGATGCATGAGGATAAAGAGCAGAGGTATTATTTGAGATTTTTATTAGTGAGATATGAAAGTGCCATGCATGAATTCCATCCACACTGTGTTGCCAAGGTACATGATTGTACCTAACTCCAAGAGAAACTGGAGAATGTAGTCCAGTTTTGTGTCCAAGTACTGAAAGGAAGCATCTGATAAACTATGAGTTAAGTTCCACTTCACTCACTTTCTCAGGAGAAGTATATTTTTAATATTTTTGTGACATTGAGTACCACATCTTGTTACACAGAGTT